AAGAAAGACGTCGAGAGCTCAGTCACTTCAAAGCCAACTAGGAATACCTAATGCAAAGGGTGAGCGAAGTGCAAGGATGAATATAATATGATGGGATATGGTTGGATAGGTTTGAGATATGGTTTGAGTGATTTTTGATCATGTCCGGTTAGACTAAACAAGTCAAATCACCAGCCTCGTTGTTCCCTCAATTTTCCTCCAATAAGGGAAGGAAACTCTCACTTGACACAGTCGCATGTATTCAAAAATTACGCGTGCGAGCCACAGTGTGCCAGTAAAAATCGAATTCAATCGAATTCATGCGTTTCAGGTGTCACATCTCTTTCGCACATTTCCCCCCGCGCGCAGTAGGAACCGACTGCAAGAGTCAGCTTATTAAATCATATCGCACATTGTTGAAGGCTCAATTCGCTGTGCACCTTCTTGCTAAAGGCACAGCTCAAGGAGGCTTGGAAACAAGCCGGGAACTCAGCATTTGGATCATATTGGATCCTCTCTAGTCCCGGGGTTCGGCAAAAATGACTTTGTACAGGGGGCCATTCATGAGCAGCATTAGCAGTGTCGATTAGGCTAGGTCTGGTCGTCCAAAGTTCTGGTTCTAGCTGATTTGGTTTGCATCTCTTGATTGGCCCAGCAGGGCGAGGCAGCGGGGCAAGGCAGTGGGGCAAGGCACCAGGGCAAGGTCGGATTGGTTGCTCGATATCATCTCAGGCTATGAAAGAGATGATGGATCAAATGGTTCGAGCCTTGTAGCGGTAGCGGGTCCAGCCTTCACCAATGGCAAGACAACTATACAAACATGTGAATGTGGTCGCTTGCGAAGCCAGTGGGTACATGCCGATATTCACGACATCTTGCCTTTGAGGTGGAGAAGACCGCTGGAGGGTTGCGCTTCATTGCTGAATTGGAGCCAGAAACCCAGTTGTCAAGACGTGCAACTCTAAAGAAGTAATTACTTTGCACCCGCAAGCATGCAGATGCTGGATCTTCTCAACTGCAAACATTTTCACCAGAAAGCAGGTATTTGCACACACATATATATATATAATTATATATATATATCAATATCATATAAAATAAGCTCTTTCCTCCCAAGCAGCTCCGAAAACCGGTAACAGCCTTGTTGGAATGTTAATGTTTGCCCGTTTAAGATCTCACAGAGATCTTGCCAACATCTTGCCAATTCTTCAGCTGAGGAGTGGCCGCAAGCGGAATCGCATGGACCACTTGGCTTGCTTTGTGGTGCAGTTCTCAGTATCCGTAATTATCTGTAGCTTGTAGCTGACATGACACCCGTGTATCCCTCCAAATCCCTCCATAGCTGCAACAGCTGGAGGCCGGAATGCTGATGTCGGGGCTCCCGGATCCTGGTCTTGAGATGTCGATGTTCATTGAAAGTGTGGCTTCACCATCGTCCAAAAGGAATTCAATCATACAGAGAGCACAGAAGACATCAATCATATTCAACTATCATGAATGAATTTGAATGATTAAAAAGTTGAATAGTGGGTATATGCGGATATATACATAATTATACATATATATATAAATATATATATATATATGTACATGTGTGTGTGTGTGCGTGTGCGCATGTGTGTGTGTGCGTGTGTGTGCGTGTGTGTGTATATATATATGTATACAATGTATATTCAAACATGAACATTTCTGTACATCGAACATATCAAACCGGTTTAAGTCTTTCAGCCAAGCTCTTCCATGTAGTCTTATAGGGGATATGCAGACTATTGCAGACTAGTGGCTTCCATTTGCTCCCACTGTGCGTTAAATCACTCAGCAAAGGTTGGGTAGTCGAAGCCTCCCCCCAGAGGAGGCAGACGGACAGAGTTTTGATGTCGGGAAGTCGACCCGTCGACGGCTGATGGCTCCACCATGAACCGATGGTCTCGCCAGGTGGACCCACGTTGGGAGCCACTTGCTGTGCTTCGCCTAGTTTCAGCCAGCTGCTACTGTATAGGTGCATAATGGTACATATATAATTATATAATATTATATAACTATATATATATATATTATAGTCATTTACATGCACATAGTATGTAATTATACAAATGCAGATGCTTATATACACAAATATGCATGTGTATGCATATACACATAACCAAAAAAGAGAGAGAGAGATATCATTATAATTATAATTATATATATATGTATATAAGTCGGGCAACGATACAGACACCCCCATAGCAATATAACATAATACAACACAGTAAGCCGTGATTTGGGAAGGCTTCTCTGCAAAGCAAGTTGGACGCGGGTTTGAACTTCACCTGACAATAAGCAGTTTGCAATCTTGATTTCATTCGGTTGGATATTATGCGTTGCTCAAAGTATCAGGGCCAGCACGTATCTCTGAAACTGAATGATATAGCATGATACAGCGTCTCGATTGCTTTTGGTGCAAATGGCTCAGGCTGATTTGACATACACCTGCTATCAGATGTATGTGTCATGAACCCAGTGCTTTCTAACAGCGACTGTTCTTGCAAAGTGAGCAGCCTTGAAGCTTAGCTCATTCCCTTAGACTGTGGTCTTGACACCATGTGGGACCTGTGCCGATCACATGGTCATTGCCCCACCCTTCGGTCGGCTTCTAGTGTAGGCGAACGCCAACTGGTTTGTCGCCGGAATATGTCAACTTCAACGTGCAGTCTGGCAAGGCAGGAGTATGCGCTGTGGTTGGGGGGGAGGGTAAAGCACAACTGGAAATTGCGCACTGGTGTGAAGGCCACTGTTATGCCACTCGAAAAGACCATTCTAGGGCGAAGTGAGGGAGGGCAAAGGTGCGGATATTCCGGAGAATTCACTTTCAACTTTTTGACACTTTTTGTATATTTTTATGTTTCTTTTTTCTTTACTCGGTGTATTTCTGCTACCTCCGGCACAACTGGAACGGCAACTTGCCGTCGCAGGGTTATCAGCTGAGTGAGTTGTGGCAGGGACAAGACATGTCGATTCCGGGCGATGCTCCGCAAAACCTTCTGCGGCCGGAAGCAGCTGAGGCGTTTGGCAGGAAACCGTAGCTGCTGCAGGTTATAGCATTTTAACTGCAAGATGCTGCAAGTGCGCATAGGAAGTGCATCAATGAATGACACACCCTAAAGCCAACATTGCTGGTCTCTTGATTCCTGTTCAATCTTTTGCAGCTGGCTCATTGAAATTCAAACTATGATAAGGATCCATAAGGCATAAGGTACACTTTGGGGGAGTGGGCCGTGGTGATGCCAAAGAATCAACAATGACTTTGCTCGCAGGCAGTCTGGCACATGTGGTACTACACTGGGGACCACAAGTACCGGCAATGGGTGCCTGAGCCAAGTGTAGGTCATTCAGGTTAGGAAGGCAAGGCTACAATGAAAAAGGACAATGTGACATTCAGCTAATGAACTCCTGATGCACCTCGATTTTTTGAAACTATAAAACTATTATAAAACTACTATGTATATAATATGATATGATATGATATGATATAATATGACATGATATGATATGATATAATATGATATAATATAATATTTTATATTATATTATATTCTATTCCAGTCAGATTTGACTCAGGCTCTGCTTGGGATTTTTCAGCTTGGGTTTCAGAGAGCTCAACGATTCTGGAAAGGGTCTGAGAGCACGGCTCCACTGCTTTCCAGGGCCATGAGATGTTCTTGCCGTTCCTGAAGTACAGCAAGGCACGTAGCAATCCGTTGAGGAAAAGTTGAGGAAAAGGGTGCACCGAGTTGAGATGTGTTGAGGATGTTGAGGATCCAAGGAGCAATATCTCTCACGCCATGCAGGCCTACTTTATTCTGCATTGCTCATCCAATGCAGCAAGCATGCTGCACATCACACCATTGGCTACGAAACGAGAATTGATTAGATATGATTACCGTAGAACTTATTAGAAACATTGGAATGATGAGAGGGGATCTCTTTTGGAGAGCCAGGTGAAATTTGGCTTCAGCGCTGTCAGTGATGTGCGGAAGAAGACGGCACCAAAGAGGGACTCCCAGGCACAAGGGTTCACACGGAGGCACTTTGACTTGTCGCATCTTGTCACTAAAAAGCCACTCGCCTTTTTAATGAAGTATTGAGAGTAGATGTCTAAGACGCGTGCCTGCACTCTCGAACGACTGGTTGATGGCTTTGATCAGACTTTGGCCAATGATATCGATGGGGGGGCTAATGGGGGCTATACATATCAAGATAGACCAAGTCTCGTAGGGTTGAGAACTCGACGAGAAGATCAAATCAGAAAGTACCGAAAAGCAGCTATGTCTTGTCGTCATTTCATGTTTCTTGCCACTTGTAACCCTTTGCCCTGGTTTGGCAAAATCCTGCTAAGCGCATCCAAGATCATCCAAGTGCTTTTTTTTTTTTTTAAACAGAAGTCAAGCATGGCTAGCCATATCTAGCTCTCCTATGCTCTCCTTGGACAGGAGAGCTTTTGGCTTGGGGAGACACTGAAGTATTTCTACCTCATCTTCGCGCCACGCAACACGGTGAACTTGGAGGACTGCTGGACTCTCTATCTCTGACTAGCACTCTTGCGACTCTTGTGCTATCTTGTACCATCTTGTACCGACATTCTTGCGGAACAGATTCTACTAATCTACTATATGTCCAATAGTCTGACATTTTTCCAATCTTCCTCTGCGCTTCTAGTTGAGCTGCGTCGAGTGAGCGTGTTCCCGCAGCTTTAGGCACTTTAGGCTCAAACAATGGCCCTGCTATGCCCCTGCTGGTTTCATGAATATCAGATTGTTTGGGCTGGCGCCTGTGGGTGTTTCAAAGCAATACCTCGAGACACGAGACTAGAAACTGTGAATGCACGACGTAACATCCTTGGATCCAATGCCTGCTTTATGTTGTCGCATGTCGCATGCTTGCGCCCCAAGAGATAATTTGATAATTGATGATGATGGCATAAATTGCATGCTGATCATACTGCTAGAACGCAAGACTCCGAAACAGCTGCTTGCGCAGCCATGCCATATTGCGGCCCCAGCGGGTCTACTGAGATCTGCAGATGGGCCAATGTCCCACCAGGGGATGAGGTGGAGGTGGAATTTGACATGCCAGAGGGATGCAAAGCGCGGGAATCTTGGATGATATTCACATGTTCAAGCTAGCATCAACCCGTCAGTATGCCCGTTATGTTCAAAATGTTCAAACTTCGCACATAAACAGCAGCTGCTGTATGATTAACGAGTTTAAAAAAAAAACTGTAAATGATAGAAACTTGTCCATCTCACTATTCTCACCCATGTGCCAGTTAGGATGTGGAAGTGAAGATTCGCAACAGCCACGTTTTGGTGAAGATCAATGGGAGGACCTTGGTAAATGACGAGCTTTTGAACCGCTGTGACCCTGACGTATCTCGTTGGGAGATTCGGGGCACTCGCCTGGTTCTGGTCTTGCAGAAAGAAGCTGGTTCAACGATACCATGGCCCAACGTATTCGTGAAAGATTGCAAGACCCATTTTGACTTGACTGATGTGTTGTGAAGCTGACGGGTGCAATTTCGCTGGAACCACCAGACGTCTCCCTGGTAGCCAATGGTGTTTCGCTGGAGACTTGAATGATGTTTCAAAACAGATCAAGGCTTTGTGATGATGCCGTTTTGCTGGGAAATCCGGACAAGAGTTGGTCTTGAATGCGAATTACTGACTTGGATGACCACCGCGCTCTGGCGGTCGACTATGCTTAGCGCATCTTAGCGCAAAAAGGAAAAAAAGCAAAACAGGAGGCTCACTTTAGTGACTTTCGTGGAAATCCCAGTCTCATCAGGTTTGTCAGGCTCGTCGTTCGCTGGAATGGCCACAGTTTCGCCTTAGAAGCCTTAGAACTTATAAGTCGCATCTTCTTATATCCTCCTTGTTCAATCATTTGATTTGAGACACGACCAAAAAAACGAGCTGATGAATGTAGTCTTTATCATCTAATCTAGGAATTCGACGGTTCTACGGATTCCCATCATTGCATTATTTTGCATTATTTTGCAAGATTTGATGGTTGGTAGTTGGCCTTTGAACTGGCCAAGAAAAAGGATAGGAACTGCGCCCGCTTCAAAATGCATCAAAGTTCCCGAAGGCTCATGCAGCACTTGTGCCTGTTGGCAAATGATTCCATGATAAAGATGATAACATATGATATATAAATGATACAGATCGATAAAGATCGATAAAGATGAAAGTTCCTCCTGAGCTTAGGCTTCCAGTTGCACATCTTAGCAGTCACACCAGTCTCGCCATGACTCGGGGCGAATGGAGGAGTTTGTGCTTAACACAGAGGCTCAGCCACTGAGGGTCTTTCAGTAGACCAAGAAGCTCAGAGGCCGGCTGCCAACAAACTGTGGAAGCAACATGCCAAATTACTGCAAATTACTTGCATCAAACCCATAACGGCCAATTGCGGACAGCGCTCTGTTCCTCGGACAGGATGCTGAGCGGAAAAGTGAGCCAAAGAAGCTTCACTAGAAAAATGAAGAGCGAGCCTGGCCTGGTTTCTTGTTGAGATCGTGGCACGCCTTTCCTAAAACCAAAATCACGTCATGCAAATGAGCAAATAGTTTCTTGGACAAATTCAATGAATTTCCAGGTTTCAACTAGTTGGACCAGTGAAGCAGCCCGAATGCATGTATTCATGTGCTGGAGTATGAAGAAGGTTGCCCCTGAAGATTTTTCATCAGTATGGTCCTTGATATTGCGTAGAACGTACATTACCTGGTTATCTCAAATATTTCAAAGCACCACGAATCCAAAGTGACTGCAGGCTGTCAATCAAATGTGGGGTTGTAAAAAATGGATCACAATAGGAGGGCTTGGCCACAAGTTCGTTCAGGATATTTCAAAATCATCATGAGTACATCAGACTAGTACTCACTGTCCATCAAAGTTTCCATATTACGTGAGTGATTCACAAGACATTCAAGACGGTGGCCGCTCCTTTCAGCAAATTTAGGCTCCGCTTTGAAGGCAGTGCCTGAATCCCGTGGTGAACCGGCAAAGCATAGTGCAGATGGAGGCCAATGCGTGTGAAGGGTGACCAACAGCTGAACAACTGAACACCAGCTGAACATGGATCCAGGTTTTGTACATTTGCATTACATTTGCCATGTTGAGTCTACAACCTTGAGCACAACAGAACCTGGGGTGCAGGAAGCTCACACTTGCATACACTTGCCTCTAAGTCATTCTAAGTCTATCATCACCAGATTGCAACCCACTTTGGCAGAGCGAAGGTCTGAGTCCCGGAGTTGCAGAACCCCACAGGGAGATTGCCAAATAATTGCCAAATAACATTCAAATTCCGATTCTTCAATCTTCTTGCCAAGCTTGGGGCCTCGTGGCCTTTCTCCCAAACCCCTTTTGGCCACCCTGCCGCTGGTGGCTGGTTCATGTTGGTTCCCCCACAGTAGGCACACCCATGCAGAAATATTGGGGGTGGCTGGGCATCCCCAATAAGCTCTTGGACCTTGAAGCCTCATGAAACCTCGAGCGACAGGGACACACTGATAGATTATGAGGAACCAAAGCTGGGGAAGTTTTGGGGGGAGTGTTGCATTTCGAACTCCAAGAAACCATTCGGAGCCCGTGCCCCCTTCCAATTGGCTTTTGGCTCAAGAAAGCTGGTTGTCCGATGTTGGTAACAAGTCTAAGATTTCACAAAACTTAGAAGGAAGAGTCTCCTCAGTCTAGTAGACCTTATCCAGGAGCTTTGGATCCTGTTGGCATGTTGGCAGCTCTTGCAATTACAACTGTGTCAAGGGGTTATTTAGTGGGCCACTTAAATCAAGTAATGCAGTTCGTATAGAGGGCGAGCGAGAGAGGGATAAAGTATGATAAAGTTATAGTTCGCAAAGATGCCAAGTTTGTGCCCAAAGTTTGGTACACTGACGGCTTGCAATGTGATTTCTTCGCACATGACTGCAGCGTGCAATTTCTGTAGCACAGGATGACACAGATTCCCCAGATTTGCTACAGCTTGAGGCTCTTGAGGGCCAGAGCTGGGCATCTTGCCGCCATAGGCTGCAGATTCAGCCATCGGGGCGGAAGTGAACTGGTCCTGCGACCGCCACCGAGTTGGCCGGTGGCCAAGGGTGCAGATGCAGAGCGAGAGAAAGCCAGGGAATTACAGACTCGGATCCACATCGAAGTTGAGAGCATAGAAGACCTTCGAGAGCCTTACCTGGGATAGCACAGTGATAGCACATGAATTTTTTGAGGGTCAAATGTCAGCAATGCTTACTGGCAAGGATCATTTGTGATTATGATAGTTTCATTATGTTTCATTTTTTCTGTAGTCATGCATGCTTTCCTCCAACCTCTTGAAAACTCTTGAAATGCTTTGAAGATCTTTGAAGGAACTTGTGCGAGCCGAACTGCAGCACTTCGACGAGCACCACGCAGTGAGTTGTTTGGAAAGGCTTGGGTCTATAGGTCGTGATGCAGAAACGGAAGAGAGGCTGCTGGGTGCATTGCTCCAGCGCCTTGATAGTGGACAAATGGAAATTTCAACTTTGGCTCGCCTCGGTGCTGCTGCAGTTTCCATCTCCCTTTCTGATGTGGTGAGTTTGGTGACAGCAAAGGCCTCACAGAAAGCCAACGAATTTGGAAATCGTGACATGGCTGTGCTGGTTCGAGCGATGGCAATGGCAGGTCAGGGAGCTGCAGTAGAGGCGTTGGTGAACGGTGCTGCCCCTCGGGCGCCAGGATTGGGTGCACGGGCCCTGGTGCGACTCGCATGGGCATCGGCCAGGGTGCGCTGGCAAAGTCCTGCTTTGGACATTGTGCTGGAGGAGGCTGCAGGTCGTGCAGACCGGCTTCAACCACAAGCCATGTCAAACCTTCTTTGGTCGATGGCATCCTTGCGCAATAGGAACAAGAATGCCTTACGCACCTTGTTGCCACACATGGTGGATAGAGTCAGACGCCTATCGCCACAAGGCTTGGCGACTGGGCTATGGGCCTTGGCAGCTTTGCGTCCGCGTGCTGGTAAGTCCGTCTCCAGACCTGGATGGCTTGAAGAGGATGCAGTTTTGCGCATGTTGACTCAAGCCATTCGGTGCATCGAGGCATTTAGTCCCGAGGACTTGGGGGCTCTCGCCAGGGTGACTGCAGTTTTTGCTTCAGCCCAGACTCGTGGTGCAGACTTCGCTCCACTTGCAGAAGCAGTGGTCAGCGAGGCCACGAAGAACTCTGAACGTCTTCACAACTTGCCACCCCGGCAGCTCTCTCGGATCTTGGGTTCCATGGCGCGATGGCGTTGTCGCGACCAAGATTCCATTGAACGTTTAACTAATGAGGTGGCAAGAAAAGCTGAGCAGCTGAATGCAGAGCAGACGGCTGCCATTATTTGGGCTTCTTGTGCCTTGCACGTTTCAACCAAATTGGTTCCCGCACTCAGCATGCAGGTGTCGAAACTATTTCAGGACCGGAGTGAAAGAAATACATCGGCTGCTGATTTTGGATCAGTAGCAGGATTACTTTGGGCCGCATCGTTGTCAGTAAAGCCTGGACGGTCTGCCACCTGGCCGAGGGCCTATGGAAGCCCAGAAAGCGACTGGCTGAATGGGAGCTTTCTGGATATGACAAACATGGAACTCAATGCTTCAGACGCCCAAACTTATCAGCTGGCAGGTGTGGCTGTTGCAGGGGCAAGACTAAGGCTGGGAGATTGTAGCCTTCTCAGAGCAACAAGGCAGGAGATACAGAAGAGGGCCGAGACGGGCCTGGAAGCTCAAGATTGTGCGCTAGCAGCTCGTGGTTTTGCCACCCTAGGGTTGCACTCTGAAGGTTTGCTTGGGACGCTGTGCCATAGCTTTCTGCAGCAGGTCGGGCGATCATTTGAAGGTTGGGACACTGGCAGAGACTGGTCTGATATGGTTGAAGCTTTGTTGCTTGCTGGTACTGGGTCAGTTCTTCCCGGCAGCTTTGATGCAGAGCTCATATCAGCCTATGAGGATGCAGTGATTCTGCCACTCCTAAAACACTTGGAAGAGATAGTTGCAAGCGAAGGGAAAACCAAGGCCTTGGCCCAGAGCCTCAAATCCTTGGAGCGCTTTGCAGCATCTTTGGGCTTACCAGGCCTTGGTGCTGAGCAATCCCGGCAGGTCCTGAAAAGAGCAAACCTGGCAGAAGTCGCGGAGATCAGTCATCCCTGTTGGGCTTCAGCGAGGGAAGCCGCAGCTGAAAGGCTTTGGAGCTCTAACTCGATCAGGTCTGCATGGTTGTCCTACAACATTTCGCTTTCTTTAGATGATTTCCAGCTTGAGGAACAGGAGCCAGGGCGTTTGGTGGCAGTTGCTGGTGGCCACTCTGAACAGGTACCAGGTCTCCTTCGACCATTGGCTTTGCCTGGAGTTTCAGCAGCCGGTCGACACGCGGAGCACCAGGCTGTATTGGCAGTCTTCTCGCTCCTCAAGGCAGCGCAACGGCGAATTCAACGGCGAGCCTTAACGAGGGCCTCCAAAGATGCCAAGACACGAATCAGCGGCGATGTGCGAATCTATGCCTTTGGTTCAACACCATGCCTCTCCTTCCTGGCCACTTTGGCACAGCTGAAGAGCCATTTTCCCATGATTGTCCTGACGGTTGGTTTTGATGAGGATGTCGCGAGAATACCTAGGCTGCCAAACGCATCGTTTGGCTCAAAACTGCAGGAGGCAGCTGCCTGAAGTTGAGGTCACAACAGACCAGATGTCCAGATCATTTCTTGTTCACAGCAGCTGGAGAAAATAATGGCAGCGATGTTTCTTCGTAGGTTGGTAGATCAACCCTTGACCACCCTTTCCTGCTTCTGATTTGTGTATATATAAATGTGTAAAACTTGAAATGTAAAAAAATGTGAACATGATATTCATTGACAAATCTTTGACATTTCATTGATATCCTGAATGATTCACTGTCCGCACTTGGTGGATCTTGGTGCTCCTTTGTCGAGTGCCTGAGGCCGGTAGTGGCGCACACCAAGCTGTGCGACCCCAGGATGGTTCCGATGAGGGGAACGGGTTTGATTACTTTACTGTAGTGATGTTGGTGTTCAATGATGCTAGTGATGTCACCAAGACAATTGTGCCAATTGTATCCAATTGTGCAATTCAAACAGCTTCGCTGGTAGTCTGACAGCCTTTTCAATTCATTAAGTGTTCCATGCATGTGCTCATCAAAACGGATGCCTGGGTCGCGTGCAAAGAAAACACACATCAGAGCCATTCCCACCGGAGCCATTTAGAGACATCATGTTTCAGCCATTGGCCAGCACTGAATCACCTGCCTTCATGGCGGAAGTGCGCACAGACTCCGAAGAAACGGAGGAGCAATAGATACATACACATTATATTGAGTCGTTGAGGTGGACTATTGGGCCACAGAGGAGCAATAGCTTGACATGAGATGTGGGCCAGCCTGGCGATGGCATTGATATGATGTGTACCTCACATGTAACACACAGACATGTTGATCTGTGTGGATGCATACAATCTTGATGTTTTTCCAAACCCGTTCATTGAGAGACCATGAGAGACCTATATACTTGTAGGAGCTTTTGCCGCGGCGTTCCGAAAAGCGCTGCACTGGAAGATGGGCTGCAAGTGTGCTCGCATCCCTTGGGCTAAGTCTTGTCTCTCTAGCACTTGCGCTAGGTCCGCTAGGTCAGGGATTTCGCAGGACCAGCAAGACGAATGGCTTTTTGAGGCTCGCACTTGATCAGCAGGACAGGTCCTGGAACGACAATTCTTCTGTGTTTGAGAGGGGAGGGTTTCTGTTTGCGCACTGTTTATTATTGAGACTGTTTTGCTTCCTGCCAGTGGCAAGGTTAACAGATTAAGTGGTGAGAAAAGGGTACCAAAAGAATCAGCTCATGATGTTATCTCGTGCATATCATGTAGGCAGACACACACACACACACATTGTACATCATTGTGCTACTGCCATGTAAGACCAAATTTTACATGTGTGTGATTTGCGCATTTGTTTACTTTCCTCACATTAAGGACTGCCAGCAAAGAGACATATGGACTCATATGGACATCATATCGTGACATGATACATGTAATGTCATGCAATGAAGTATTCATGTGATTTTGTGTTTCTCAAATGCGACGGACAGGAACTACAAAATTGCTTTCAGCAAGGCATGTTTTATGACAAGCCGCGGCTTCTACCCGCCACCGAACGCACGATAGAGTTGAGTGCGGAGCTTTGCCAAGAGAGATGCCAAGGACTGGTTCCAGACATTTCCAGATCCGGACACCAAAAGTATCCAAAAGTCCTGTGGATGAACGGCAATATTTTCCAAAGCGAACCTCAGATCTCAAGCAAGGCCAATCATTCGCAGAACAATACCTTCGCAGACACAGAGAGAGAGAGAGAGAAAGAGAGAATGAATGAATGGAATGGAATGCAATGCAAAGCAATGAAATGGAATGAAAGGAAAGGAATGAATGCATGAATGAATGAACGAACGAACAAACGAATGAAGGAATGAAATTACATGAATTGAAATGATTTTGAAATGAATAGAAACATGATTTGAAGAATGAATTGACACATGATTTCAAACATGAACTGCGAAATGAATTGAACAATGAATTGACAAATGAATTGACAAATGATTTCAAACATGTTTTGAAACATGAATTGAAATGCATTGAACTGAATTGAAACGAAATGAAATGACATGCATAAATGAATTTCAAGGTTGACACTTGGACCCGCAGATTGCCAAACTTCATTACATTTGGGTTGAAAGCATGTTGGATATGTGAGCATGTCACTAGCATGTCACTAGCATGGCAGTGGGCTTTCAGGAGTCGATGGCTGTGCCCACTTTACTTTTTGGCCCGATGGGGGATGCCTACTTTCGGGACCCGAGTCTGTGCTGCAGGCTGCACCTATGAAGTGCTGCAGGCTGCAATATGTGCCGTAAGCGTGTGTCACATTGTGTCACATTGTGTCACATGTCATTGATTTTGATGGCCACTGGATACTGACTCTGCAGTATGATATTGGTGTGCACCTCCATCCATATTGTAAGCCTTTCATTCTGTCAGTTGAAGTGCTCGCCGAGGTTCTCTGCGACTATTACAGGGCCCAAGTACTGCCAAGAGGCAATTGAAAAAGCAACAGCAGTGATCGAGGAAAGTAAAGTTGAAACAGCTGGCTTTCACGAGGACTGAACTTTTCTTGGGAGAGGAAATCTTGCACTGTTGCTCAATGTTGCTCATGGATGCTAGTGGTGGGCTATGCATGGCTATTGTTTGGTTTCAGATGCAGACTTCCACGCTTCATGCTGGTCTTGTCGAGCAAGTTGGAAGGATTTGCCCAGTTCCTGGGATGCTGGAATCCTGGCTGCATCAGCCATTGGGCAATATCTCAATGTGGTGGTTGTTTGAATTTGTTTGATGTTTGAAAATCATCACTCAAGTGACCGAGGCAAGTTTCAAGTGGTCGACATGGCCAAGCAGAGCATTCTGGACATCGCGCAGGATGCAGAGGAAGCAGCAAAGACTGCAGCGGCACAGTCGGCACTTCCTGTATCAGCTGGTGTGAATGGCAGCACTTGCGTGACTGAGCCAAGCAAAACGGAATGAGTGTAACATTGAAAGTTGGAGCTGCAGCAGTTGGCCGAATCTTCTGACCAGTTCTTCTCCTTTTAGTTGCTTTTCTGGGTATTTTCTTATAATTCCCTTGTGTCACACACTCATGCCGTAATGACTTTTGCTGTCAGTAATGCTATGTAATGCTTCATAACATTCATAACTGATCTTCATTGTGTAAAGCGAAATGCTGTCGACATCCTGGGCTGAGGCCATGTATCCAGCCTGTGTTGCTGTTGGAATTTCGCAAGGCGATTGCTGCCCGAACCAGGACCATGTAACACTGGGTTGCTGCGATGGATTTCCGAAGACTGCGGAGGACCGCGAGCTGAAGATGGCAGAAACACGCGGAAACATGTTCTGGGATCACTATTCCTTTCCTCCAAATTCTTTCATTCTAGGATGTTTCATGATGTTTTGTGATATTTTGATGATATAGTTCATCATTTCCCATCATTGGACATATGATGTCCATCTTAATCCTGTACTGTATATAACCGTCATATTCCGTCCATGTTGGCTGGTAGTCCAGGAGGTGAAGATTAGCCCAGGGACCGAGTGTGCCAAGTTTCCTGCCTGTGCAGCCGCGAACATGACTGGGGCTTGCTGCCCCACAGCTGAGGGTCTGCAGCTGGCTTGTTGCAGCAGTATTTGAGCCACTTGAGCCAGTGAAGGCAGCTGCAGTACATTTTTCGTCAATGGTCAATGCAGGTCAATGAGTCTGCCGTCAGCACACACGTTGCTGGCAAAGCACCCCGTCAAATAGGTTGCAGAGAGGTGGCATGAGCTGAGGGTGATCAGGTAATGCAGGCACATGTCGGCGAACTTAAAAGGTGCTTGCATGAAGGTATTTTTTGATATTTTTTGCATATGTTTGCTACCTTCCTGCTTAGCATGTTTCTCTTGGCCCGGGCTCTTGACAAATTCGCCCAGCTGCAAAGACAGGGGGTTCGCTCAGGAGTGCGTGGCACAAATCAAGTTCACTTGTTGATCATTTCATGAATCCATAGGTACCGAGGTCGTGTGCTATTGATTGAACTCAAGTGATTGCGTGAGGGTGATCAGGTGAACCACTGGAGAGATATCGATGGCGATTTTGTGGCTTTTGTCACATGCTACTTTTTCACATGCAAGTGATCTACATTCTACACCTTTCTACAATGCCACAGTCACATTTGGCCGCATTGAGTCAAGATGGGGAGACGTGGGGAGACGGTCTTGGGGAATTTGGGGACATTTGTCCAATTTTTGGTTATGAACTTCCAGATGCCTCCAGCTTTGGATCAAAGATGTCTCAAGCTGCGTAAATGTAGAATGTGTTGTTGCTGCGGGCGAAGGGCGCGGACACAATGACCCTCGGCGAAGCAGAAAGTTTGTGACTTGCTTGGGGGTTCACATTAGGACGCGTCGAAGTGTGACAAAGTATGACCAAATCTGAGCCCTTGGAATATATTAACATAGTGAACAACAATTAATGCACGATGATGCACGCTCCTTATATCTCCTTATATGGAACGGCAGATTGTAGGATGATTCTGGATGACTATGGATGATTATGGATGATTGAGATTTTGATTGAGATTTGGCATGCTTTGGCCGATTTGTTTCTCCTTTCTTTCTGCCAGCTGAATGTCACTGAGGTCTTCGCCTTCGCCCGTGAGACGCTTCCTCCACTGGGGAAGTCGCAAGGCACGGACCTTTGGCAGATAGAACACAGCAATCAGCTGGCCTATGGCCTTCGGTCGATATGTTTTGCAACATGGTAATGCCATGTAATGCCCAGACATATTAGAATATATTATGTTATTTATATATATATATCAAGAATATCACAAGAAAGAGAGAGAGAGAGATTGGTGTTTATCGCATGCTTCTTGTTTAAATACCTACTCTAAAGTTAGCAGATGCTGACAGGATCAGTAGTTGGACGAATTTGCCGCCCTGGAGGAGTCGGTTGCGATTGGTGACTCCGACTTTCCGAAGACTGCGAAACCCCAGATGCTTTGCTGATGCTGCACTCTGCTGTGTTGCGTTTAGCCAGTCTGTTTAGTAGGTATGGTACATACATGTACATACTATGAATATATACATACATACATACGTATATATATATATATTATATTATGATGATGATTATTATTACTATTATTATTATCATTATTATTATTATATATACCTACATCTAAAATGCACTATGTATATGTATAAAACATTATCCGTCTATCTGTCTGTCTGTCGGTCTGTCTATCTACCTATCTATCTGTCTGTCTATCTATCTTATCTAATCTAATTTTAAATCCAATGTAATTTACCTAATTGACCTAATTTATCTAATAATCACGTTAATCTATCTAAATCTAATTTATCTAATCTAAATTTATCTAACCTATCACCTCTATCCTATCTATCTAATCTAATCTATCTAGTCTATCTAATCTACATAGTCTATCTAATCTATCTGATCTATCTAATCTATCTAATTTATCTAATCTATCTATCCTAATTTAATCCTAATCCTAATCCTATCCAATCTATCTATATTATTATATACTTGGTCAACTTAGTCAGTGCCGTCGATTTGATCCCCGTTGGCTGAAGAGATTGGCCGCTTGAGCGCGAGCGCCAAGGATTGTGCCAGCTGGAGAGGGCAGGAGCACTGCGCTTGAAGTTTGGCCTGAAAAATGGGGCGTTTCGGCGGCAGGAATGCACCCACCATATCCCACCATCTCTTGCTTTGATCAGCTTCTATCTTTGTGGTACCGCCATTCAACTGAAGGAAAGCATTTCCTGGAAGTGACGTTCTCATTCATTCAAACATTGAAATCGAGCAACTAAACAAACATGGAAGTGCGCATTAGCTTGCTTGCCTATGGTTTCAAGCTGGGACAGTACGACCAGCAATGACTGAGGCATTACTGTGAAGCAGTTTGCCAGGCCCACATTTGTGCAAATTGTAGCCTCCCACTATGATTTTCATAGTCTTGTGATTCACACCGTTTGATGTGAAATGGCTGGTGTTCTGTGTTGTCGCATGTTGTCGCACAAAGCAAAGATCGTTTCAATGGATTTGGTGTTGCTACACAGCAACCTCATCATATGTCTGAATTCCCTGGTTTATGCCCCGCTGCCGCTGTTCAGATTATTGGACGAATGCCGCGAAGACCCAGACTGGACTGACGAGTTCACGGTAGCAGACCTTGTGCAAAAATATGCAGCTAGCCTGAAAACTTTGCTGTCAATTCGTGGCCATGTCATCTAGTCTTTGCTTCTGCAACGTTCGCGCAACACGGAGCTGCTAAATGCGATGGGTAGGGGTGTTTGAGACAAATTACTGCCTATGCTGCTCGCGGCACAAGTAAATTTACCGTGAAAAAATATGAAACTTGAATGCAGTCATAAACATTAACAAACATGATGAACTATCTTGACATATCTTGACATATCTTGACATGTTGTCTGCCTGCAAGTTGCAAGACTGGGGGTGCACCTGAGGTGATCCCCATGACGCGAGGTACAGGCTTGAGCTATGCGGTGTTGGTGAATGCCAACAGTCCCAAGGAGTCCGGGCTTCACGGAGCTAATGTGGCTGCGATGTTCGCAGTGGATCGCAAGAAACGTTGCAAGATGTTGCAAGATAAGAATGTATGATATGTATGATATGTATGATATGTATGCATAATACAGGCCTTTCTGCCTACGTACCTGCCTGCCTACCCACCTACCTACCCACCTACCTATCTGACTATAGATGATGGATGGATGGATGGACGGATGGACGAACGGATGGATGTATGGAGTGGGGAGGGACGGACGGACGGACGGACAGACAGACGGACGCACAATGATAGATAATTAGATGGGGAGGGGTGAATAGAGCTAGATAGGGATAGACAATGATAGCCATAGATACGGACAGATACTGGTAAGCAGATAGATAGGTGCACTACAGTACTACACGCACGTGCAAAACCACACAGGCACACACACACAGAATTTCCCTGTTGAGTTGAGTTGCGAAGAACCACGTGGCAACACAAATAGCCTAAATAGCTAATATGAATCTTGAAAGATCATGAAATAAAGCTGGATGACCTTTGGCATTTGCCATTCAGGAGGTTGATGTAATGATCTCCCATGCGGCTCGGCTGCAACGGCACCTCAGAGGAGGCATCACTTTTGGTGGTGGTGTTGCGGATGACTATTCGACCATTTGCCAAGGCTTGGGCAGAGAATGCCTTGGACTTCTGCCGTACCCTGGAACGTTCTGTCCAATATGAAGAGTACCGTGGATGAATTTGACCAGAGAGATTTGCTTTTGCTGTTGGTCCTACTTCTTCAAAGTAAAAGCCACAATTTGATTAATTAATGATCAATGATGATTACTGCGACTCTTCGTCCCTCTCACAAGTTTAACAGAAGCCAAGTGATGTCAAGTGTTCCCAGCATTGCTTTCTGAGGTCACTCTTCATTTGTGCGCTGTCCCTATACCAATGCGAGGACAATTGCGGCCCCACTATCGCGGAGCAGCTGGGGACATATCCACAGGCTCGCAGTGCCATGGATTTCCTTCATCAGCATGTTGAAAGCTACCCATTGTCATTTGTGGCATGTTTGAGCAATAGGTATCGTACAGATATTGAATATGCGTATGTGATTGTATGTGTATCTGTATGTATATGGATATGCATGCGTATTATATGTATGTATATATATATACATACATATATATACACATATATATGCGTGTGTGTGTGTGCGCGTGCGTATGCGTACATGTAAATGTACAGGCAAGTGTATGCATTATGTATCATATATATATATGTGTGTATCTATATGAAAAACTCTCCAGCTTGTGACACAGATGGGTGCTGGATGTACTGGTTGGTCTGCGGAGTCTTGTGCTGCAGGAGAGCCCTTTCCATCGTGTGCTACAGAGAATCCATGACAGAGGAAACTCATCTGAAGCTCCTGATTGCGCAAGAAAGACCGCGTAGGATGGATGCACTCTTTGTACTTCTGTCTTACTAGCCATTATATGCCATTATTAGCCATTGTTGCATTATGTTGCATTCTCTTTTTCAGCGCATGAATTTCTCGTGGCTATTGTGGTTGATCTTTTACGCACTGGCATTTCATGATATTTCGTGCAAGCTCCATGGCCTCGAGTTGACCGGTTCAACCCGAGGAAAAGAAATCGAGAAGTCTGGAGGCGGGAAACTGAAGCATCATGAAGCATCTAGAGCTGCGAAATGCTGCGAAGGGAGGATGAATTCCAGCACATCCAAGGCTGGTGGCGGCAATCAGTTGTATTGATTCGAATTCCCTGGATATTGCTGATCATTTCCGTGACTTGTGTTTTTACTCCTGATGCTTGGCTGTGCTTGGAACAAGGCAGATTTGGAAACTGAGAACATCTAGAGGTATGAAATTTGATCCTGTTGCTGTCTCGATGTCTTCAATATCAGCTGGCTCCACGTGGCCCAACAGTTATGTGTTGTGATGCTTGACGGTTTATATGCTTTCGCAATCTGACCTAGCCAAGGTTGTAATCAAAGGCTGCATACCTATGCATACCACATGCGCCTACGGGACCTGCAAGCCATTGTTTGTAACTCGGGCTACTTGAAGGACTTGTGATTTGTTTTCTGCACTGGCTTCCAACCTTGAATGACTTGTGATTTGTTTTCTGCACTGGCTTCCAACTATGAACAGGTTTTGGGCGGTGGGAGATCAGGAGAGTTTCTTGCCGTGCGCCCCAAGACAAGGAATTTCTGCCGATCTATGTTTGGGAATGGACTTTCAAGCCATTGGAAGGCCATATGTATGCCTTCGTGTGCATTGGCCACATTGTTGGAGTGCCTCGTCCCCTGTTGCGAGCATCGCTTTTGCCGTAGCCGTTGATACTGTACTCGTACGCAAGTCTTGAAGCTGTTGAAGCTGTTTCTGCGCCCCGAGGTTGTGACCGTTCTTGCATTTGTCGTGTTACAGCTTCTGCAGCGAACTGGGCACCTTTTCAAGGGACGCATCTTGGCAAAGATATCAGCAGATGATAGCAGATATGCAGCAGATTTGATCATGAAATATCTGGAGCAATATGAGCAATCCTGCAGGTATGGTTGCTGTGCCCAATCACAACTGCGACGCTCAGCTTTTGGAATGGGCTTTTGGGATGGCAAAGGTACAACATTTCACAACAGTTTTCACGTGTATCAAGCGACTTGCAGCCACAACGCTGATGACACGGGGACATCCACCACGTCACAGCTCACAGTAGCCCTCTCGATTGCGTAGCCTCAGGAGATGTACACCCGGCTGTCGGCTACTCAACCATGTGCATTGATGAATGGCAGAGTGGGCATAGAAACGGTGTATAACGGTGTAAAACTGTCATGTTCCAAATCGTTTGGAATGAAGACAGTTTAAATCCAGACGACTTAGACTTTCACAGCGCCTATGCTGTGGATCTTAGGTGGTGCGTTTTCGAGATGTTTGTCACTTGGCCATTGTTTACATGTTTTAGCTGCATGCTGCAATGCTGCGCATTTTCTCTATGTGCCTTGCATTGCTAAATTTATCTTGAGCTGTTGACAGCTTCCCTTTGGAAATGGGCATAGAGATAACTAGATAGATAATGACAGATGGAGATAGACAGAAAGAACGATGGATGGATGGATGGATGGATGGATGGGTGGATGGGTAGATGGATGGGTAGATGGATGGATGGATGGGTAGATGGATGGATGGACGCACAGAAAGATAGATATAGATAGATTGATGCTGTAGATGGATGGATAGATATTTACATTTTAGATCATTTTAGAATACAGTTTTAATGAATTCCATGCATCAACGCGGAGGTTGCACAAACCTTACTGGTGCCCGTGAAGCTGGCAAACACGCTGGCTTCCGACGCTCAGCCGCAGGACGTGCCATGATGTGGATCACCTCTAAACTGGGAAAAGAACATGGTGATTTATTAACCAACAGACATGGGAATATTATGGGAATATTGTGGGAATATTGTGGGAATATTATGGGAATATGTGGATAGATTGGATAGTTGACCATTGGTTTTTTGGAAAGCCATTTGCCAGCTTCAACAGCTGTCCCTTCTTCGCCGTGTCTCAAGGCGGGCGAAGTGAATTCTGCCAATGCCCAGTGCAGCAAAGTGGAGGATGCCAAAAAGATTGATGCATCTTAGTTGCAACACAATGGAAAAATATCAGCACCTTGATCTGGCCTGGCAGGGTATCAACATCTTACCAACTAATGGCATAAAAAGTGTGCTCCTCCTGAAGATATTGCACCATCACCAGTGTTAGTTGTGTTAGTGTTTGCATGGAAGCAGTTCAGGAACAAATTCGGCAATATCACTTCGCAGATGAAGAGTCAGACGAGGCCGGTTGGGAAAGCTATGGGCAGCAAATGGATGTGAATGGAATTTGTGTCACATTTGCTTCAGGATGCTGGCTATGAGATGCTAGATGAGGCAATCCGTGAAGTCAACAACAAGGCGAACAAGTGGCACGCTCCGTGATCGCTACAGGATGGCTCCTGTGGACAAGACATAGTGCTCTGAAGCCAGAATTTACCCGAGCAATCTCCAGCTTGTAGTGATTGAAATGCGCCGATTGAATCCAATTGAGGTGAGCCACAAGTGTCAGATGCAAGTGATCACGGTTGCCCATTCGTATTCAAATTGACCTGAGATGTTTGTTTCTAATTTGATTTCGGCACAATTATAAATCAATATTTATCCAATTTATCCTGTTCCAGCCAGTAGATCCACTTCTTTCATCTTTCGTGAGGCGTGGTCGAGGGCTTTCTTCATTCTGGTGCTCCAGGCAGGTCCTTTGGCCTTTTGCCTAATGTGCCTGGCACCTAAGATTGGACCATATTGGACCTTTCAGGAATGAGCGACTTGAGTCAGGAAATGAGGCAGGCAGATATGATTTAGGGATGCGGTGCTGAGGTACTGTCAGATTGATCAAGATGCTTGGCAGAAAAACAGCGATGATGGAGAGAGGTGTGGAGGAAACCCATGCAAATCCTTGTTGAGTAGTGTTGGATATAGCCAGTTGGGTATAGGGTGCATGAGATGTTTTCAGCAGTCTACTGTAATTTTTTCATATTTCTCGAGCTCTCATCAGTCTGCCGGTTGCATGTTCTCTAACGCTGCTTCTCCGGCAGCGTGTGTGGGCCCAACCGTCCAGTTCCCCACATCTCCTCACAGCTCACAGCGTTTGAAGGAAAGGCTCAATGCATTGGTGGGAAGAGCAGGCTTCGCACCGTGGAGGTGTGGACTGGCAACCTCGCCTGCAACACTGAGTGAATACAAGTCGTCGCAGAGATCCCAAAGGAACTTGTGCCACTTCTTTGCCGACCTTCAACGTAGTGCCGAGGTATCATCATGTCCTATACTTAGCTTCTCATGGCCGCTTGGGCTATGACCTCTTTTGCCACGAAGTATTTGAAGCCTCCCCGAAGGCCAAGAGCTGGGAATGGTGGAAGCTGAGGTTGCAGGGATGGTGGTTGGGCTATGTTGGGCTAGCAGCTAGTCATTTTCTCTTTGAGCCAGGAATGAGTTGGATTCAGGGAGGAAGTCAAAGCCTTCCAGCTATCTCTTGCAATGCTGGCAAGCCTTAAATGGACCCAAAAGGTCCCCAAAGATGGGAAACACTACTCCCAGGTCACCTATGAATTACTGTTCCACCTTCCAACAGAAAGCTCTGTTCGAGAAAAGCATTTCCAAATCTGGGGTAGAGCAACAATCAGCAACATCACACATCCACCCATTGCAAGCAGCTTCTCATGGCTTCGCATCTCGCTAGGCAATGTGGTCCTGGCTTCTGATCCTGGGGACCCTGATTGGTTACTGGGTAGTGCTCAGCTGCATGGTCTATGTCGCCAAAAAGGCTGAAACCGCAGTCGTGGAGACACTGTGGGTATTGAATGGCTACTGAAATTTGAAAATACTATCAATATCTATTAATAATATTTAATATATAATTAATCTAAAACATACGATTGAGAGCGCGTTGGCAGAAATTTCATTATAATATACACAATTTCATGAAATCAGAGTTTATCAAGATATGGAGAAAAAGCAACCTGCATGACGGACCGCATGAACATCTTTTTGCTCAACCCTTGCCAGGTGAGCGTGTGGCTGCGAATGTTCTTGCAACTTTCTATCACATTCTGACGTTTCTCACGTCCAAAGTATTCCCAGATTTTCGTGCAGGCTCAGGGCCACTTGAGCTTCTGTCGCATTGCCAGCGTGGCCTTGGGCCTCATCTTCATTGAGGCGATCCGTGGCCCTATGTGGCCCTGGGTGGCTAAGGGGTCTGGAGCGACCAAGATTGACCAAGACCTTTCGGCCTTTTGCCAATTGTTACAATTGTATACAATTGTTGTTTTTACATGTTTCTACCTTGCTGGGTGAAATGTGCTGCATGATGACTCAGTTGATTTTGTTCTAAATGTTTGATGAATTATATGAATTTGAATGTTCCTGATGCATTCTGATTCATGAAGCTTTGGTCCCGACATCCACCAACAATTGTGATCTACTGCGATTGCACGACTTGTTTGCATGATGAACATCTCATAATATCTCTGATTTCGATATACTGTCACCAGCTGCATCCGGTACGGGTCCCGGGTTGTCTCATCGCTGGAGGTGGTGCTGAATATTTCCATAGTGCTGGCAGAACATTTCGTGGGAGTGTGCCTGGAACATGCACATGGTGGAACCAGCACCCTCCACGGTACATCCATGTACATCCTGTGTAAAGATTGTATTTGTAGGAACCAGATTATAGATCGATCCAGTTGTTGATCGGACACCAGTCCTTTCGAGTGGAAGTTGTCAGGTCATGCCATAGAGCATGCATGAGTATGCCATAGAGAGCTTGATGCAGAGACCAAGCAAAATCATTCTTGCGCTTGAGGTGTAAATATCATCCGTACCGATTCAACTGGTTTGTGCTGGGCTTTACGGCTGCGATCTCCCAGGGCTCATTGATTCTCTTCTTGCTGGTCTTGGTGCCTTGCCTGCTCTTACTTGTGCTTGTAGCAATTGAGAGAATCCGATGTCAAAGTTGATTTATATATGTTCTGGCAATTTCCGGCATTGGCAGAAATGGTTAGAAATGCATAGAAACGCCAGAAACTGCCCCATCGTTGGCTCGTTGTCATGTTGGTCATCGATCATCATGCCCCATCCTTCTCTCCATTTCTCTTCCCTTTTGTAGCAGCCAAGCTTTCTGCCGTGAAAGCAGAACAGCTTTCGCTGCTGCGCCAAGGTCAATGGACTTCGGTATGTTGTGCTAGGTCCACCAGCTTTGCTGGGGAAAGGTGCTGAGCCATGGCGAGATAAGACGTGGAGACGTGTTCATACGTGTTCACTGAAGCATGAAGTCTCCCGCAATCAATGAAAACTGCCTCCCACATCCTGCTTATTCCTGCTTCATAATGGTACATTCTGGTACATCCTGCCATACACCAAGACTATATTATATTTTTTTCAGTGCTAGTGAGTGCGATCTTCGAACTTAGACTTGTGGAGCACTTCCAAGGAGACTGGCGTGAAGGTATGCCTGGGATTGGCAGGATTAATCGCCCGCAGCCTCAGAGACAATCATTCTTACAACAAGTTCTTGTCACGACATGTCACATATTATGTCACAACTTATTTGGATAGTGCTTCACACTATCCACTTGACACAAATCACGGCTCGCAAGTTCTGAGAAGCAGAGACGTCAAGCCCAGTCCTGGCATCAATTAACGCAAACATCGGAAGTTGGAGCTTCGACGATTCCCGAAGTGTACATAACAGCTGCTGACAGCCCATGCTGAAAGCTCCATTGAACTCACATGACTCCTTCTAAACAAAACCTTACTGCGATGCAAAGGAAGGTATTGCCCCATACATCCCCATACATCCCCATACAAGCATATACTATGCATGGCATAGTACGGCACGATGTTTCATTTTCTTGCTTGACAGATGCATTTTGAGTAATCTTTTAAGGCCTTCTTCTTCATCATGTTTTTCACCTGCCGCGCGCACCATCCAGAGCACTGGTTCCCAACCATTGTTCCTCGACTACAATCATTCTGCAGATCATTGTAGATTGGACTTGGTGTAGTGCTGAAAGCCACTGGTGACAATGAATGGCCTGGCATTTGATATCCTTCTGTTAATTGAACTTCTTGACTCCGACTCCATCAATCTGGCCCTGAAACACCGCGTTCTCGTGTTATAGATGGGACATGTCATGACAACTCAGGTGGTCAACGGAGCCTTGATTTATGGGTGGCTCTTGGGACCTTTGGGGATCCTGTTGGCCAATGGAGTTCGCTTCGGAGTGGTGACCTTGGAAAACTGACGCCTTGATTCATCAAGTTGGCAAGTATTTTTTCGATGTCCTGCATTAGCAAGGAAAAGAACTGGTAGCACTTTCTAATCTTTGTATCACTTTCTCTTCATCCTGGTGCTTATTCAGCCAAATCTGCTATGTTAAGCAAATCCCAAGGTCAGATTTAATCCATCAACGAGCCTTGGAGGTTTGGAACCAAGTCTGCACTAACCACACAGCGCTTCTGGTGTGTTCTAGCGTTGCATGGCTGTGAAGGGCCACACCTGAGGTTGCCGACATTCACGACAAATTGAATATGACGAGGCCAGCGAGAAGACATCAAAACAGCGTCTTCTCTGCCACCCTGCAGCCTCTGCCCTGGACATGTCCATGGTCTATATACTATCTACATCATTCTATATCTCTGATATTATGTATTTCTATATCTATGTATATGTTATAGTTATATAATGTTATATACATGTTGTTATATGTTATATGTCTAATGTCTATGTTACATGTCTATGTTATATGATTATGTTGTACGTATGTATATGTTATATGTCTATATATGCCGATGTATATCTACCTATCTATCTACCTACCTATCTATCTATCTATCTACCTACCTACCTACCTATCAACCTATCCATCCATCCATCCATCCATCTATCTATCTATCTCTCTCAAGAATTCGCGGAGCTTCTCGCAGGTTTCACATAGCAGCAGTTCTGGCGACTCGACGGCATTTCACCACTTTTCACCGACAAAAAATCCGAGGAACTCATGGCATTGCTGTGGCTCAGCCATGCTCAGCCATCCAGCCTCAGGCTACAGTGATGAGGATGTCAAGTAGTGAACTCCAATCACCAAGTTGGCCTCCCCTCATCTCCTCTGCTCAACTCGTTTTACATATATTGATCATATTGGTAGTGTATCCAGATTTGGGTAGTGCTGCAGTAGAAATCTGTTGAATAGTTCAATGCCTGAGCGCATTGTATTGATAGAGCTGAAAGTTGCGCCCGAATCGACCGTGTGCCTGTGACGGAGTGCAACAATGTGCATCAGTGGGCAAAGTGACCAAGAAAAGATCATCGCCTGACGCGCAGTGTATTATGGTGTATTGCTTCCTTGGATTGGCCGTGTTTGCACAGAAACTGAGTCCTCAATGCTGCAACAATCAAACATGCTGAACCTTTCGTGCTTATGTGGTGCAACATTGAGTGGTTCCGGGAACTGTTAACAGAAGTAGGAGTTATGGTCGTAGAATATCGTAGAATTGTGTTGCCCAGACCCAGACCACTTAAGAAAGCGGCTTAAGAATGCTTAAGATGGCTTGAGTGGCAGATGGAAGACCCATGATGGGCTAAAGAGTTTGAAGACTCATGGCATGCCTCTTGTTGAACCAGCATCAGTGCCTCGTTCTTTTGCACCACATTGCGAATTTCGAGCGAAATGATCCAGAACGATCCAACACTTCCAGTGATCCTTATGTAGACCAAAATGGGAAGAAGTTGTTTCGACGTGTTTGCATTGCAGTTGTCACAGCTTGCTGTTCTAACCTCGCAAGACATAGATGATCCCCCGCGCGAGACATGGCCTTTGTCAACGGCCGCTACGTCCGTGGTACCCTGGATTCATCCTGTCAGGAATGGACGATATGGACATGTACCGATGTTGAAACAAACAATATAAACAATTGACAACGTGAAGATATTTGTGCTTTGGGTGTTATGTTTTCGTGAGATTATATATATATATGTGATATGATATACATGCTCGGATTTGTAGGGCATCCATGGGCATCCCGGCATCCCCATGGCTCAGGTACATCTTAGAGAGGTGCTGCTTCCACGATGCAGGGGCAGATGTCGCTGGTCATGACCTTGCGGCAGTCGCGGCAGGATCAGCAGGTTTGAAACGATAAGATGATACGATACATCTCTGGGCAACATCGTGCAACGTAGCAAGATAGAGTGGTGAGTCCAAATACCTCGCATACCTCGGCAATGGAAGTGAAAGTCATGAGGAGAAAACCTGGGAATTTTTTCGAATCGATGCGAATCGTGTGAGTGGATGCTAAGAGACTTTGTGGGTTGTCATGTGCGCTGCGCATTGACATGCCTGATGAGCCTTCAGTGTGCTTACAATGCGTTGATGCACTCGATTTTTCTGTTATGCTTTGGATTTTAGATCTCCCTCCCTCAGCCGAAGAGCACATGAAAGTTTAAAGGTTGAACGCAACTTACATGTGGAACATAAGTACCTGGCGAATCATGTAGGCATATGATCACACATACACTCTGCAGAGCATGTTGCACTTCTGTGCTGAATGTATGAGATCCTGAGATCACTGACAACCTCCGCGTTACGCAAGATGAGATTGCACGACATGCTGTGACTGGGCACAGAACAGGTGGTATCAGGTGGTGTAGCAGCCAGTGTAGCACTATGCTGCACTTCTAAGCAACCAATTGGCACATATTGGCAGTTGGGTAACATTTGCCAGTAAAGCCTCGGCCATCAACAGGGGCAGAAGATGGAACATTGCTAATGAGACAATGGAAGAGTTCAAAATCATTGATTGATTGGTGGCAACCAGTGAATTTGTGAATCTATGGATGGATTGGATAACTACGACATACTAAGACTGAAGTGAAGTGGACTGTTTTTCCTGCATTCACATTTTGGAAAACCAACCCAAATCACACATCCCTTCTCATCGCTTTCGCAACCGCCAGGCAGGAGTCAGCAACCTCACGATTTTCAAAGCGCCGAACCACCAAGAGCCCTTCGAAAAACAGCGGATCTCTGGATTGAATTCTCGGCGGATGGACCAAGTGGGACTGAAGCGCTTCGAGCCCTGCCCTGCAGGCAGACGTCAAAGTTATATGAAGTTTGCCGGCAATGGAAAAGACCAACATGAAACATATTAAAATAGATTAAAATAGATTAAAATAACACAGAATAACTGAATAATTAACTATAAATTGTTGTATTAGAAAATCATGAACACATGGACACCATGAAGCTTGAGAAGCAAGCAATGGAGAAAAGGATTGAAGGCCTGACTTCAGCACAAAGGTTCTGACACCTGACGCCGTGTAGCGCTAGGCTACACATTTGTGGATGCAGACGTTGGGGGTGGTGCATTTGCTCGGGTGTTCCTCGTGCGGAATGAAGCTACCCACGATCTGCAAGCGATGAAACGATACTTGGCACAACAGACCACGGTGCCGCAGAGTGCCGCGGAGAGGGATGTGGCACAGACAGGTACAGGTCAAGAGATATAATGACAGAAGGAGATTGCACCAGGTTTGTTGCGCCAGTGCGGGGGCGGCCTTGGGGTGTCTTAAGATGTTAAAGCATAAGCGGACTGAAGATTCTGAATCCGATGTGGGGCCCTTATGGGCCCTTAGCAGATTTCAGGAGTGGACCGAGTGAAGCTCAGCAAGCACTTTCAGATCTCGGACGCAGAGGCCGAGAAGATGGTGGAGCAGGAGTTTTGGAACATGCAACGGACCAACCATCCGCATATCATCAAGCACTTTGGCCATCTTTGGCCGATGGATCTGGATGGATTTTGGATGGTCTTGCGATAATTAAGTGTTTGGCAAGTGTGGCAAGTTTAAATGGTTTTGCCCTTTTGATCCCTTTTGCCCTGTGGTTTTGCTTTCATTTCTTTTTGATTCTTTTTGTGCTTGTGAGATTGGTTTGCGTGTGCAATTTGTAGTCAAGTTGCTGATGTCAACGGAGTTCGTACATGTTCGTACATGTTCGTACATGCTGGCCTCAACAAGAACAGCTAACAAGAACAGCTAACAAGAAACTAGTGGAACGTCAAAGCAGACCTCCGGCTTTCGCATGCTTTGACATCTTAGGTTATTTGATTTCTTTCAGGATGAGCGTTATGCGCACCTTGTCAGACATGCTGGCCGATGCCGAATGCTGGGAAGGGGTTGTATTTTGTTTGGGAAAACATGGGAAAACTACATCTGAAAGGTAACCCATGGGTCATGAGCTTCTACTGATGCTTGATGCTTGAAATTCACAGACAGCTTTGAAACTACCGTACGAATTTGCATGTTGGCATCCTCAAAAGCAGTGTTTGACATTTCGTTGGCGCAGCAATGCTCCAAGCATTTTCAAAGGATCACTTCAACCTTAGCCTTATGTTTTTCGTGCCGGTTGGCACAGCCAAATTCCTTGAATCTTTAGGTGCCGATGGATTCTTCAGAGTCTAATCTGGCGAGCATTTATCCCAGGTACTTTATCATGGAGTCTGTGAACGGCGGAACACTGCGGCAATTGATCACAACCCTCGTCGATGGCAAAGGTGGAACACTTGTGGAAAACTGGTGGAACTCCCGTGCAGAATCTAGTCATTTGGTTGACCATGTTGGACCATCCCCTCCCATATCCATATCTCCTACTGTATGGACTGGTTTGATATGATCGCGCTCTATCTCATATGAAATGGGACTGGATGAGGTGATCATTCCACAGATTCCACTGCTAATCTGACTAAAATGACCTAGATCAGGCTGGATCACGCCTTTCATAGCAGCCAAAAAAGATATGGGCACAGCCGTGTCAGGACCCCGCATCAGTGAGGGCTACGTGGCCGAGCTCCTGCACCAGGCTCTATATGCATTGCGTCACCTGCATCACGACTCGTGGCAGATCAACCACAGCGGCCATAGCGGAGGATCAGGTGGTATCCCATGGTATCCCATCCGGAAACGTTGAAATGATTTGAAATGGGCCAGAGAAAAGATCTGACACGCCAATCTTGGTTGTGATATTTTCTTGTTGGAAGAGCTTGGAGCTCTCGTGGAATGCTCCTGGTATTCTTTGACAGTATACCTGTATACTCTAGCTTTTCAATGTTCAAGTGGCAGTGCCATTGCAATTTGCCGCAGTTTGCTTCGTTTCCTCAGGAATCGCGTATCCACAAGGACGTGAAACTAGAGAACCTGATGCTGCTGGCCAACAGTGGTCCGCCCCATTTGGTGTTAATCGACCTGGGGGTGGCAGAGACACTGCAGCCGCAGGGCCTCTCAGCTAAATGGGGAGTTTGAGGCTTGTTTCCAGCATGGATCGAAGACGATCGTGAAATTGGATGAAATTGGTAAATTGGGACTTGCCTTCCTTGATCCCAAGTTGCATCCCTCTTGCGGTCCTTTCGCACAATCCGTAGTAGTTTCTATTAATACCGAGGAGTTTTGAGTGCAAGTTATAAGGAACAATCCAGAATGGTGGTTGTGCAAGTGAGAAAGACGCGAACACAATACGTGACAGCCAAGACAGAAAAATTAGAATTGCAATTGAATAGCGCAACTTTAATAATTTCTTGCGGCAACCTTCAGATTTGAATTCAGGATTCCAAAATACGCAAACTTTGGAGGTCATCGCAAGTGCATTACAGAAGGGAATGATGAAATGATGCGACTCCAAATCTTGGACACGTCAAACCAAGCCCCATTCAATGTATCTCCACATTGTTTACAGATTTGGTCACTGCAGGTGTTGGCCCAATGCCGGCTGGCACACCTCAGACAATGGCACCAGAGGTCATTGATTGTATGCTTGGCGAACGCTCAAGTGAATTTGCTGCAGATGGTGCTGGGAAGTGTTGGTCTATTATGGTCTATTGGTTTTGCTCCGTTCCATCGTCGCGATCATGCAAATCAGCTTGTGATATCTTGTGCACCTAAAGTTCTTTTTTGAGGCAGCTTTTGAATGCACGGTACCTGGGAGGAATAGTCAGAGTCGTAGTTGATAAGCACATTCATTTATGAGTGTCTGATTAGTTCTGCGAACCTTCAGTCCTTCAGGTTCAGAGATCATTCCTCGTATGTGCTCGTGTTCCGCTTCATTTGACGCAGTTTTTCCTCTTTTGCCCTCAACTGGTGCTCGGTGCTTCTTGATTCTGCTTCCATCCCACACAGCACTCAGGTTTTGATGACCGATGTGACATCTTCAGTCTGGGTATTGTTGCGCACCAACTATTCACCGGAGATGTACCTTACAAAGTGGCCTATGCTGGCGGAAAGTCATATGGACCCGTTGACTACAAAGCCACACGCGCCAACATGGAGACTCGGGATGCAAGTGCAGTGGGATGCAATGGGTCAACTGTTCTCTCTTGTTTCCTCCCCATCCAGTCACGGCAGGAGAAAACGGTACAGCATGGGAAATTGTAGTGAATTGTCATGAATTGTCACATTTGAGTCATCCTCGATTCCTCGATCCCTTCTTCAGCTTTTTGGGGCATAATGCGGGACGTGGAATGACCGGGATGCCACAGCCCCGAAGGATGCAGCGGACCTCACAGCTCAGCTGAGCGTGTCGCCTGGTGCCCTGGATTTCGTTCGTCAGATGCTGCAGCTGGATCCGGAGAAGCGACCGAGCAGTCTGGACGGGGCGCAGGGCGATCGGCCCAAATCCCATGGCCCCATATGGTTCATCACCGCCATATCCCATGATTTCATGGCCATTTTGGGGTATTTCAATGTATTTCAGGGATTTTCATGGTATGTCGGTATGTCGGTATGTCGGTGTCTCCTTATCATTCCTTATCTTTTTGGAACCCACATGAACGATAATCAGGGACGTGCCAATTTTGTTGCAATTGGCCTGTTGAGGAGTGCTTGGAACACCCATGGCTGGTGGAACGCTGCGAGCGACGGCGCATCCGCAGACTGCGGGCAGAGGGTCGCACCTCTTTGGGAGGTGCTTCCTTGTTACTTGGCAATTGATGATTAATTATGATTAATTTATTTGTTCTCATGTTTCTGGGCGGAAGTGAGTTATGCATAATTACTTAGTTATGCGGGCATGGATGGAAAGGTCTCTGGGGAGGTTGTCCAGAAGCGTGGAAGCATCAGGCAATATCGGACATATCCATACATATCCAGCATATGCATGAAGACCAGGTCAGTTGAAGCAGAGGAGGCTGCAGGGGAAGAGTTGCTGATGATGGAAAGGCGCTGAGACTTTCGAGATGGGGTCAGTGCATATCAGTGCCAGATTGAGAAAAACAACACCAGGCTGCAAACCTTGAATCTGATTCCCCGGCGTGGTACTGTAAAACTCCATCCCACTTTAGTCCGCGGCGCAGAGAGACAAACAGAAACAAGATGAAGCAAGTTGAGGCAAGACTGAATTTTCCCCGCCTGTTGAGCACGAAGTTCTGCAACTTGTTCAGGCGGCGCATTTGCAAAGCTCTCGTGCGCTTTGCCAAGCGGACTCCCCTGCAACGAGCTGTTGCATACCACTTGGCGGCTTACCTTCCAGTTGGCTGCATTCTTAGCTCAATGCTGCAATTGCTGCGCCAGCACCGACGGTTCCAGAGGAATGACTTGACTTCACATGCTGAGATGTAGACAGTGACTGTGTCACGATTGATACGATTGTAACATGGATTGAAGGGGCAGTATGATTTAGTTAATTTAGTTTGATTTCATCGTTTGTTGGCGGCTGTTCAAATCGCAGACTCCAGCGCGCCTCAGGGGATCTACGAAGAGCTGCAGATAGTTTCAAGAGAGTGGACCACAGCAAAAGTGGCATTTATCTCAGAATAGCTTCAGGCGATATTGGTGCTGCTCATGGAAATGATTGGACATGCAACGAAGTACGAAGTGATTGTCATTGTAAGATTTGTTGAGCGCTTTGCTGCGTGTGTCTGGAAATCTGATCTCGAGTTTGATCAGCCAAGTTTGTTCCAACTTGTGTATCCATTCTGGGTGTAGCTGCGATCATGTTTGAGGTCACATTTCTTACGATGAAATTGCAAGAGCCCTTGAGGACGAAACTTTTGCATTCGTCATGATTGCATTGCAGTTGCTCGATGTGTCATGCAAATCGCCAGCATTGCTTGATGCCTTGCGTAGGAGGTGCTTGGGATTGACCGTGAGAACGGTTTGCTGGTTGCTGCGGCCATGGACACAGACAAGTCTAAGCAGTTAGCAACTTGCCTGGCAGATTTTCCCAGATGGGAAGCACAAGCCCGTGACCGCCCTCAACCTTGTTGATCCAAGTGGTCCTTTGGGCATTCAGAAAGAAAATGAAAGAACCTATAATTAGTTAATACTAATTAATTACATCTAATTACTATCGTGCATGATGGCGCATTTGCTCCGCATTTGCTCCGCATTTGCTCCGCATTTGCTCCGCATTTGCTCCACATTGCGGCCCGCCACCTGAGGATTTTCAGGAATTTTCGGCTGCTTTGGCCATCGTTTCAGGTCACTTGACTGTGGGTTTTTTAGCTGATCCGGTATATATGGTTTGTTGAGCAAGATGAGGCAAGCTGGCAAGATTCAAAGATAGTTGGTTCATGTTGGTTCTTTGGGGGGGATGGGGCGATCATGGGAAAGGTGATTTCTCCTGCAGAGGAGACAGGAGACATCAGGAGACAGGAGCAAACGATTTCGAATACAACAGAACCCGTTTGCTCGGGCAATCACACAAAAAAGACAGCTTTGGAGTGGAGAGCCCGCTCATCCATGATCATCCATGATCATCCATGACCTATCTTCACTGAAAGCCACTGTGTTTTCCTCACTCAGGAGAACGAGAGCAACGTCTTTTTGACAAGCTGCCGCTTGAATGCAAAGAAGATCAAAAAAGCCTTGAATGTCCTGGACATATTATTTGACAATCCGCACCGTCCGCATGCTGCCAGGGACTTTACAGATTACATCAGATTACCAAAGCCTCCGGGCAAAGGGGCGTTTAAATGCTTGCTGCATTAAATCAGCATCTCGAGTCATGTTGGTGCACTGGTGCACCACTTGGAAATGATTGGATCGACCTCGCACAGCTCCGGTGAACTCCGTGAGCATGGGCGAAACACGTTGAAACATGTTGAAACCATTTTCGCAAATTCGAGGTTGGCAAAGCTACAGATTTGCCCAGACCAAGACCTCACTCTGGAGCAGGTTCATCATGGAGTGCAGCAAGCAATGCGACAGGAGGCAAGATTGATTGCACCCTAGAGTTCTGTGGAATTCTGTAGATATGTTTAGGAAATAGGAAGTGAAAGGTGCCCATACGCTACGCTGACTGATTCCTATGCTTCCGAGTTTCGGTAGATGGTTGGGATGAGTCTCCGGGAGCCTGTGGATGGTGCAGTGCCACCAGAGACTCAGCCTGGCAGCGGGCACCGCAGGTGACGCGAGAAGAAATTGTGCAATGGTTGAGCAAGGTGGCAAGAAGCACCTTGCTGCATCTACCGATGTGAGGTTGGGAAGCAGACAAGGTTCCACTAGGTTACATTAGCATGCAGCATACTTATATATACTTATTACTGTACGGAATCAGTTGGGGTGCCTGTGGTGCTGTACTTGTTTTTGAATTTGTGCTCTCTCACTTCCATTTGTCTCTTTTTCTGTCGCGAAGCCGAGGACAGCAGAAGGAGTTGTACGATAATCCTACAGGAATTGTCTCCAACGCAGACTTCAGAAAGCTCTTCGGACAGCGGAGTTTGAAACGAGCAGAGGACCAAGCTGGATGAGATGAGCAAGGCGGAGCGTTGATGGCGAAAGGTTGCAGGAAACCGAACTGATTTGCGAGGCCAAAGCTTGGCAAGCAGAGAAAGGTGTGGCTAGTGTGTGCTAATATTTGATAACTTAGGTATATGATATATACTGATATACACTGGTATATGATATGCCAACTGGTTCCAACAGTGTCCATCTCTTCCATAAAACCGGGAAACTGCAGCAGCCGCGGCCTTCGACTTTGATGCCATACTCCAGCATGCTCCAGCCCAGGCACAAGTACCATGGGACAAGCATTTTCCTTTCATGGAGCATGGCCGATGTCAGCTCTACATGCTGATGTCAATCTGTGGCAGATGGCAATAGTTTTGGCAATAGTTTGAAATTGAAACTTTCCCCAATGTTTTCCATTTCTCTGTCAACTCGACAAGTCCTGTTTCCTCACGTTCCGTTTGCAAAAAGGTCCGCGCAGCTGGATGCTCCTGTTGTATGTCAAGAAAATGCCGAAATATGCCAACCGCTTGAGTGACAATATCAGGAATAGCCAAGTTGTGTGGGAAATGTGACGGACCTTCTCAAGCATCCGACTATATCCGACTCAACCCTTTGTTTGCTTGCATTCCCGTGAGTAAACCAAAAGGCATGGTTCTTGGGCAGCATTCCCAGTCCAGTAATCCTGGAATTTGGAGACGACGTGGCAGGAGCTGGAGAGTGAGTCCGTTTGTACAGTAGAGCTTGCACTTCTCATCGGCTCGCATGTTCAGGGGCTGATCTAGGGGGATGCAAGTCTGGATGGATTCCAGGGTGCTTCTTTGAACCTGAAAAGATGAATTAGAGGCTCTTAGAAGCAGAGGGGTTCTAAGAAGCCACACATGTAATTTAAATCAAAAAGAACACGTACCTTCTAAGAAGGAAGTGAATGCGGCATTCATCGGGGTTTGTTGACATTGCATGATAATATTTAAGGGGCTGACGCCCAACAGCGGGCCAGCATGCCAAAAGGTGCAGGGTGGGATCATCATCATCATCATCATCAGCCTCAACAAGAACAAGAACAAGAACAAGAACAAGAACAAGAGCAAGAACACCACCACCACCACCACCACCACCACCAACAACAACAACAACGACAACGACAACGACAACGACAACGACAACGACAACGACAACAACAACAACAACATCACCAACACCAACACCAACAACAACAACAACAACAACAACAACAGCAACAACAACAACAGCAACAACAACAACAACAACAACAACATAAGAACTTCCAAAAAACAACAGAAAGAACAACCCCAGAACAACAGCAACAACGGCAAGAACAAGAACAAAAACAAAAACAAAAACAAGAACACCACCACCACCACCAACAACAACAACAACAATAACAACAACAACACCAACAACACCAACAACACCAACAGTAACAACAAGAAGAACAACAACAAGAACAACAACAAGAAGAACAATAGCAAGAGCAATAACAAGAACAAGAACGACAAAGACAACGACAACAACAAGAACAAGAACAATAATAAGAACAATAACGACAACAGTAACAACAGCAATGGCAAGAGCAACAGGAACAGTAACAGCAAATAGGAGACGTGACAGTAGCGGTGGTTTATGCAGGTAACCTCCCGTCAATATTCCATAAAGAGATTCTATCACTCATGTTCCACTCTATCCCCACTATATAGATTATTGACGGTTGAATCCCCATAATTGTCCCCTCCTATCATTAAGTGACCATTGAAGGCCATTGACTCCCCAATGAATTCACCATGAAAGCACCATTGTTGTTAGTTCAGTCACCTTCAAACTAGTGAAACATGAATAAAAATCCAATCTCCAACAAGCCTATGGAAGATATGATATATATATATATAATATATTATTTTGACGTGTGTAGCTAAGGCTGCTTCGGGGTTTAATCAGCACCATAAACACGTAGGATATTATCCGGAAATCAAAGTTGGCAATGGGCAAGCCACCATTTAGTTCGACGAGTTTTCCAACGAACTAAATCCTTCATTTAGTTCAGGGATTTTGTGTTGTCACATTTGAGAACTGCAGCACTGCAGGGTAAGTTTGTTCAATCGCAAAAGTTCGGGATTAAGCTGTAAAGTCTATTTTCGCCCTCGTTAAGTGGACTCCTTCTGCGCTGCTGCTGCACCGCTTTTCCAAACACTTTTCCAGCTGCTGGAGCATCGGCGGGGGCCAAACGGCAGTGCCGGAACGACACTTTTTTTTTGACGCGCTCCCCCTGCTCTCGCTGGGGTCGGCGGATATTTGTATGCAGATACACATGACATGCCATATAGTTACTTACACTTGTAAAAGGCTTTGCAATGGCTTATCAACTGCTGGGAGGCTTAGAAGGTGACAGCAGCACCGCCCGCAGTGATTCAAAGTTTGCTACCACACCTGCTTTAAGTGTGGCAGATGTTCGGGCTGCATCCACTACAGGTATGATACCCAGATGTGGTGCAGTTTTGATTCATTCCACTGCGACGAGTTGTATGGTACCAAATGCTGCGCGAATGCATTGCTAATACGTTGCTATAACCCTAGCTGTTAATAGTGTGCATTTGTATCAATCTGGGATCTGGTTTGTCTGAAATAGGGTGCCCCATCATTTTCACGTGACTGTTTCGGGGTATGACATGGGATGACCCATTTTCTCACACACCAATGTGTTGTGGAGATAATGGCACGTCTAAGGCTAGCGTTTGAGTGGAGGGTTATTGAGGAGCTGTGACTTCCCCAAGCTTGTCAATGGCCATGGTATCACCAGTTGCTTACTCTCTCCAATTCTTGGGCCACTTGGGCTTCAGCCGGGTATTGGGGTTGCAACTTGGTATTAGAAACCTGGCACGATGGCGGCTGTGCTGGAACTACAGCGGCAGCTGCAGGAGCCGGCCAAACCGTGCGAGCTGCACGAATGACACAGTGGCACTGTGCAGAAATCATACCAAGTCATGACACGTCATGACGCGTCTTCATTTTGTTCTTTCTCACGTGCAGTTTCACATGGGCTTTAAGCTTCATGACGTTTGTGAATTCTGTGTCAGGATCATGGCCATCAGCTGGCTCAACTGTCCCAACAGCTTCAGAACATGGAAAATCTCATCCGCTCGCAGGTGAGACGTGCTGAGACACTCCACAGATGTTTGTAGGGTTGACTTGAAAGCGAAAGTTGGTGAAATCAAGACTTGCCGAATCTTGCCGACTAGTCTTTGAGTCATTTGAAGTAACTACAACATACTACAACTAAAACATACTAAAACTGTATATTTAAGTTGTTTGAATTCTATATCATCTATATCCGATGAATGTCGGTGAGCTGCCAATCCGCAAGTCGCGCCGTCGCGCAGCGTGTTTTCCAATCCGAGCTGCTGCTGCCCAGGAGCCCTTGCACACGAGTTTCAAGACTCCAAGGCAGCCAAGGCATAGCCGTTCGCCACCGGTCTCGGCATCGCCTGTGCCTTGTCAGATCATAGGTGACAAGGATGGAACATGTAGGGCCATGTAGGGAGAATATGTAGGGCGAATATGTAGGGAATTGTTGGGGATTTGTGATCCGCCATTTTCATGAGCGCTTGTTCGTCCTTGTCTCTATTTTCGCAGCTTTGGAACCAACATAATTATTTTGATATTTTGCAGGCGCTGAAGTTTCTTGCCGAATATGAACATCCTTTGCATATAGGTTCAGAATGGTTCAGAAAACGGCAAAGCTTGATATACCACAGACTCAATAGGAAGTCAATGCCAAACAATGACCAAAAACATCCGAAACCCCAAATGCATTGAATATTGGCACCCGACAATCGAGCGGGGTTAGTTTGAGGAGCGGAAGGATGGAGCCCCAAGTTGCACAACAGAAATGGAGATCGCCCAAGCGAGATGGGAAGCATTGGTCAACATGAGCCTTGGCGAGTTGCTTTTGGTTTTGAGAGGTGTCAAAGTTTTGTCATTTACTTGTTGCTATTTACATCTATTTACTATCTTGTTACTAGTAAGTCCTTGCCTCTCCCATCCTGGGGGCTAATGATGCTAATGCAGAGACATCAAGCCTGCAGGCTCCAGATGGCTCCAGGATTTCTTTGCGTCTTTCACGTGGAGGGGAGAGGATTTTTTGTGCCAAGGATAGAGCTGGAAGAGCAAACAAGAACGAGGGACGTCGCAGAACTCCGCAAGATAATTGAACAAAGCAACTAGGATCAAAGTGGCAAAGGTTGGCAAAAGATGTTAAAGGTATTTACAGCAGGATGCTTCAAAGATTTGGGAGATGTACAGGACTTCAAAGTTGATTGAGGCACTCACGATTCCACCTGACCGTGACCTGTAGCTGTCCCGTTGAGGTAAAAAAGACAAGTCTGAGGAAAAGCTGGACGGTCGCTTCAACCGCTTCGCGCCTTGGACATGTGCGATCCATGCAACAATTTGGTGCATGTTTGAGCATCGCTCTCTACATCTCTCTACCGCTAAATAAAACTGCTTTTCATCATGATGATCATGATGGTGCAAGTTCTCCTAGTCATCCCAGCAATGCCACATCTCAATACTCTCGAAGCGTTGCGCCCGGTGACTCTATGTGACTACTGTATCAGATGTCCTACACCACCCATCCCAACCGCATGTATGGATGATTGTGGATGTTTATGGATGTTTATAATGAACATATGATCCCCAAACATCAAACTCCAGTGAACCTATACTATACACAATAATCTACTGAACCTCAGGAGTTGCAGTTGGCAGATCTTCGACGCGAGTTTGAAGGATTTGTCAGGCAAACTAAAGTGCCTTGTTAGCAAATAGTACGATGCATACGATGCATCCCTGACCTCTGCCAATCTCTTG